CTACAACGCTGACTTAGGGCAACGATTTGCTGATAATTATCCTCTGCAATACGGCTATCCTATGATCGGCCATGCTGTCTGATGTATCCTGCTATACTGTGTGATTTTTTCCTTCTGAGGTTCTACTACCAGAAGTGTTACTATTTTTTGTAAATGTTTGAAATTGTTTCAGACATTCAGTATTATTCTTAAGTCGCTTTATAAAATTTCTTAGACAAGATTTCAGCTTCGAATCTTCATATACTGATATTTGCTGCAATATGTATCCCTTCAGTTGACAAGTTTGTCAATTCTCTGTTGCAGTTATCTGATAAATTGTGAAGTATGAAAATGTAACACGATCCTAAAATTTGTTTTTCGGAATATGAATTTGACGGATTTGATCATGGAAAATTATAGAACTTTGTTACAATTAAATTTTAATCTACGGTATTTCTTACAAGTATTTACCGAGCAGTCTTTGGTAATGCAATTTGGCAACTTTAGCATATAATATATACGAATTATATAAATATGATTTTCAAATATATTTATCACCCTTCAACTTCTTTTCATCGCTAAACATCAGTTTTATAGACAAATCTAAAAGCTTAACAGCATAAGTAAAAAGTAGAATATCGATCCAATCATCGTACGTATTGAAATCAAAGTCTACATGTCGTCGGTGTTGTTGAACTCATGGCAAGTTCCTACTGAAGTACTGATATGTGTACTGAATTGACTGAAACAGAATGCAGAAATATAGAAAAGGGTAGACAAAGAGAGAGAGATAAGAAGAGAGATTATATTAGTTTCATAAGCTGATACGGAATGAGTTATTTAGAGTCGAGCTAACTCGATGAAACTTTCTTACAACAAATTAACATAACTACCTAGAAAACTGAAAAACAGTTGCAACTAAATACTAGCCAAAAGTGCTTTCAAAAAAAAAAAAAAAAAAAAAAAAAAAAGTTAGCAAGTTTAGCTTAATGTAGTTTTGTCAAACAATTTTAGCTTGTAACATTGTTGGTCAAGCATATACGTAGTATACACTTTTCCTTCAAGTTTTTGTAATGAAGCCGAGCTAACGGTTACAGGCACCTAGACTCATCCACACATAATTATTGCCTGCCAATTAACCAGCCGTAGTACAGAAACACAAGTACGAGTACAAAATTCAGACTCCGGATTATACTTCAACTGTAACTACAGTTAACAACTGTCAGCTATACTCAATCAAGACGATAAGCCACACACTATAAATTACTGGATGGTTACCAAAATTTTACATTGAAAGCAAGTGTAAATGCCACTAAAATCTAAAGAAGCAAAGCACTTAAATCATCCCCCTCTCATTGAGTATACAAATACATCAAATAACATTCATCATCTAGAAAGTATTTCCATCAGGCAAGTATCTACTTCTCTGCAAAAATTGATCTGCCAGTCATCAAAAAGGAAAAAGAAAAAATTGAAAAGAAAAAAGGACAGTGTTTAAATGAATTGAAGAACAAGGAAGAGAGAGAGAAGAAAGGAAACAATAAAGCAGTCGATCAACTCCATGGACAACAACACAGCTGCATATTTAGGCAGCATTATGACAGTATGAGATTTGTTTTTTTTGGTCTCATAAGAGTGTTGTCTTTCTCCACCATTCATCAGACATCAGCAACCAAAAACCAAGATGATGCACAAAGTGTACTTACTTAAAGCTCACTCAAATCTGCAGTAATTTCCGGACAAAATATCTTTTATCAAAAGAGCAGTAGACCAAACCTAGAGACTGAAGAGAATACTCATGACAAAATATGGATGTGATGAGCAAACTGAACTGCTTTGCGACCCTCTTGGCACAGAATGTGCAAAAGTTGGTGTCTTCAAAGATCTTTACGTAGTTTGCCACTTTGCCCATCCATAATTTGACACTTAAATACTCTCTTACTACAATTGGCAAACATAAGTAACAAGGATTAACAATTTAATAGATACTTATGTAGCAGAAGTACTAAACAAGAAAAAAACAGTAATTAATAATTTGATACAAAGACAATAGAGGTGAGATATCATGAAATAATACGCAAGCAATAGATTCATTACTGAAGGAGCACAATGACAGATGACAGAATGCAGCTGGCTACATAAGGATGGCAAGTTCATCAGTCAGGTAGCAAAACAGACAAAATGTTAATGCTAGTATGTAACTGCAAGGTGTGTAACAAACCACTCAGAACAAATGGCGTTTGAAAGCATGTAAAGTTAACCCTCATATACTGGATGGTATTATACTAAAAATCAAGCAAGACAAATAAATCATTGAGTTGCAACTCCAGCCAGATGATGCACCCAGTAGGTGAATCTCAAGAAGCTACATAGTGGTATCTCTGAGCTATTCTGTGGAACAAATGTAACAATTAATACCCTTCCCCCCCCCCCCCCCCCAAAAAAAAAAAAAAAAAAAAAAAACAAATAAAAAAGAGAGAGAGAGAGAGAAAGAAATTAAATACCCTAAGCCAAATGCTTGGGAGAGTATCCATCTTTAAAATTTCCATTTTTTAGCTTCCAAAAAAAATTTCCATTATTTAGCTCATAGACAAATGTATTACATATGATAGCAAAGACTGCAATTTTCAACAGAATAAGCTTATCTCCTTCCTTCCCAAAACTTCCTCACTTAAACAAGATAAAAGAACCCAAAACTAACCCTATCTTATCTTCTGACACCAATTCAAGAGCATTCCCCAAATCACTCTAACACCTTAGGGTGGATGTACACAAGAACATTGCCATACTTCTGTTTCCAAATATATTGAGCTAGCAGGGAAACACAGCAAACATTCCCTTATTGAGATAAATTATCTCCAATCACACTTAACACCTAACAGAGACTTGTGTAGATAGCCCATGATCATGAACCAAAGCAAAGCTAAAGCATTGTCATTTGCCATAAATTTTCTTGACTAGAAACCTAATCTGGGGATCCTCTTTCTTTTAGCAGCCAATGAACCTGTAAGATTATGTCAGTGAAAGCCCGCATAAAAGACCCACGAGTGCTACAACTACAACACAGTAGGCGCGCACACAACTGTTCATATAAATAAACTTATTTTTTTTACTAAACCACCTTTTAAGTACCTAAGTTTTTTTATTGCACCACCCCTATTTCAAATCTAACAAATTGTATCTCAACCATCCACTTCCAAATCATCAACCACATCAAAACCTTCCCTTCCATCTCAACCATCCACTTCAATTACCTCAATTTAGGGTTTGAGAATGAACAAAGACTACAATTTAATTTTTGCAGCAAAATTAGGTTTGTTTTTTTTTAGAGCTTTACTCAATTTAGTCATGCATTTATATAGAGGGAAGGATCGAATGTTTTTGAGAGAAAAACAAATGATTTAGGAGGGAAAAGCACAAGTTGTAGGCCCCTTTGACGTCTCGGTTAAATTTTTCGTCAAAATTTGAAATAGGAGTGGTGCAATAAAAAACTTAGGTACTTAAAAGGTGGTTTAGTAAAAAAAAAAAAAAGGTGGTTTTTTCAAAACAGTTGGTCAAAAAAGGTGGTTTATACCAATTTTGCCTTAATTAGTGGTGAATTATTTTCATATAAACAGCCTACAATACAACAGACAGGTACTCATCTCCCCCTAGCAAGACACATGATACGCATAACAATACACAGCTCCTTTTACTACCTATCAACCAAGAAAAAGTTTCAACTTAAGTAGAATTGGGGCAACACGCCAACACCTTAGAACAGTTGTTTTCAGTCAATCAACCAAATATTAATCTGGAGAATCATAATAAAGGCACAAATCAAGAAAAAGTAGAAAAATTGCTAAACCATCTCACTTCCTAGTCCCAACCATTCTACCATGAGAAGCCCTTCTAATATAGAACATCCAAAGATACTCATTTCTGCAACCCCAAAATGTAAAAATAAGAAATGATGTATTAAAAATCACAGAGCAGCAGAAAAGATGATGGAAAAACAATTGAACAATTGTTCCCACACAACTTTTCTCCAAGATAATTACAAACAATTCTTAACTACCCTATACCTGAGTGAGGGGAGAAAACAACACCACTTTTGATTGAATTTCCTTAGGCTTTGGGTAGGAAGCTTGACAACCCTGCTAGTGTGTTCCTACAATCCCACCCATTTCTCTACTCCAGATCAATCCACGCCAAATAAAGCTCCCTCCCAAACCAGTTTAAGGTTCTACTTTGCCAAAAAATGACCCCAAGGGAATGAAGGGTATTGAGATGACATCTTAGTACATGTAAATGTTAATTTTTATGAGATTAGGGCTTAAAATATGTTGTTGTATATGATGAGACCTCTCTTATGATAAAAATGAAGTCCTGCCTAATTAAATGATCCTTCCTCTACTCAGCACCTTCACAAGGCCAGGACATACCCAATCAAACTCAACCTTCTTAACCACACACACGAGATACTAAAAATAAAACACACACACACACACACACACATACACATCTAAATCAAAGCATAAAATCCTGCACAAGATAAAATAATAATTTACCACAATACCAGCCAAGTGCCAATCACATTGCTTCATCAAAAAGCTAAATAAACTCATGTAAAAGTGCTTTCCTGCTGAAATTGACATAAATCATACACCAATAAGAACTTCCAAAATCATAGCTGATTTAGTTTAGCCCATACACCAGCAGTGACAATTATAAAATCGCAGAAGTAAGCTCAACTCATTCAGGAACATACAAGAATGTCTTGGATGTTCAACAACATGAATCATAATCACCTATCACCGGGTAAAAAACTAAATAATGCCCATTCAATTTTTTCAAGCATATTCTAGCAAGTACAAAGTAAACAGAAAAATGTCAATGCTGCAATGCATCACAAATGTTCATGAACAATAGATAGACACAGTATGAAAACCAGCATATGAACTCAAAAGTCAAAACTATCTCGGTAGCTTGTAAATTAGAACACCGTGGATGACAACTGAAAATAACAGAGTAAGACCATATTGTCAAGCAAGCAAGCAAGTTTGATTCATGTCTGAATATATTCAAGGTTTATACACACTCCCTCTCATATTGAGGAGCTGCAAAGACTAATCTAATTTGTTCGCCAAACTTTCACTATGAACGAATACAATGGGAATTGGAAAACAAGTTGCTAACATAAAGGAGAGGGTTAGGACCCTGCTATATATGGCATCACAGCTATATAAATTCAAAAATAGGGCTAAAAATTTAAGGCAAGAAATATATACATGGATCATGTCTCTCAAATGTACACAAGCAGTATTCTTGCCTCGTGGTATTGCAGTACATACAACACATTTAAGGGCGCCGAATTTACCAATGATGCTATTCGTACCACATCTGCACAACAGGATCACACTTGACAAATGAGCCTGAACATCAGCACCAAAGACCCTAACAAAGACTGAAGCCAGCAGGTAACTTTAGTCACCTGATCACCACTTCAATCACCTAAGGCCCTGAATCAACCCCTCCAACTCTCTCCTCCCAAACCTTTTCCCACTTAAATGAGCATCTTTCGACCTCGCAGCAAAGTAAAATATCAACCATGCCACCATGAAATAAACCTCAACCAATGCCTGAAAAAGCACAGCAAACGATCTCCCAAACACTCGCGCTAAAACCCACCGCATAAAAGCCCCACACATAATCAACTCCAAGCACTTCAGTTGAATAGACTGATGAATCATTGTTGCAAGCAAATAACACCCTTCTTTCACAATCTCCCGACCACCCCCTCGCCTCGTGTTAGCAATTGTAACCCACGAATCCACAGCAAACACGAACGACACAATCGTGTCCATTAAGAACCAAGCAAACAAAAACCCGGAAATCTCTTCGTTATACCCCGGCACCCAGGGCGAACTAACTGAAAATGGCATCAATTTCAACCTCAAAAACAGCTTAAAAAACGAGTACTGATCATGAATTTCGCCGAAAAACCACAACCCCAGAATCTGTGTCAATGCATCTCTAACTGCCCACCTCATAAGTATAAACCCAGAAAGCTTCTTCACCCCCAAATTCGACCCAGTCCAAACAGTACCAAAAATTGAGGTATACTTTCCCAACAAATCATTCACAACAGAAATAAACACAATCCCTAGAGCCCAAGAATATGTAATCACAAACCCCAGAATTACCCAACCATAAGCAGCAGAAAGTACACTTACAAGAAAGAACAACGCAGCTGCATCACGACGACCCAATTCCAAACCCGCCACAAAAAACCTCAAATCAACCACATTTTCTCTCTCCTCCACATTTTCTTTCTCCAACCCCACAACCCCAACACTCGAATTCCCACCATTCTTGCCCTTAAGCTTGGTTTCATCAAATTCAATCCTGGAAAACCTAAATCTGTGATTGAAATCATTCAGAGTGTAAGAGCTCGAATTAACATTCAAATTCCGGGAATTGAAGAAAAGCGATCGATGATCATGATCATCATCCCCAGAAAAGAAGTCATCATCTAGGGTTCCGACGCGAGTAAGATGGAGAAAAGGGCGGTGACGACGGTGGCGAAGAGGGGAGGAGAGAGAATCGGAAGTGGGGTTGTTGTTGGCGGCGAGGTCGATGCGAGAGAGAAGGGATTTGATTGAAGGGTCACGATCGATGACAGAAGTGACGAAAACGGTACCGTTTTCGAGGAGGATTCGGAAGGAGAAGAGGAGGAGAGAGAGGAACAAGAATGTTGAGAAGAGAGAGAAGAATGTTACGGCGGCGCTTCGGAGGATCCCGGTTGTCGTCCGGTGATGCCACCTCGCCGGGAAATCATCACTGCTGTTGTTGCTGGTGGTGTTGTTGCTCATTTGATTTTGATGTTTTTTTTTGTTTGATGGGATTATTTGTGTTTGGGGTTGAATTGTTTTAGAAGGGGTTGTTTGTTATTGTTAGTCCAGCTAAGAAACGAAATGAAAGAAAGGTGGCCAACACTCCAACAGTACGTCATTAATCAATGTAAATAGAATAGGCAGTATTAAATTATTAATGAAAGAGGATGAGTTAATACCTTTATAGGTAGGGATGTCAGTGGGACGAGATTAGGGATGTCAATGAGGCATGACAGGGCGTGACGGATTTAGGCCTTCCTATCCCTATCCCCACCAAAAATTTTCATCCCCATCCCTTGGCACGTCCAAAATTAATCCCCATTCCCGCCTCGGCGGGTATAATTTCAAAACCATCCCTGCCTCACCCCCCACTTGGATATCGTGGATATTCATCCCCACTTTATCCCCACCTAAGACCCGTCTAATACCCACCTCCCAATACACAATTCAACATAATTAATATAGATTACATGAAAAGAAAAAAAAAATTATTGTTAATATTACCCTCTTTTTTTTCTCTTTTTTTAAGAAGTATTACACTCTTTTAGTTATAATATTATTACAATTATTATATCTAATATTTTAATTTACATATTTTTTTTATAAAATAGTATATATTTGTTTTTAAAAATATATAAATGTGGGTGTGAGGTGGGGGTGAGGCGAGTACAAAGTGGGGCGGGGCGGGTACAATGTAAAATCCACCCCCGCCCATCACCCATAGTGGGTATGATTTTTATCCTCATTTCCGCCCCACCACCCACCAAACCAAGACCCATCCCCACCCAATTGGGGCGGAGATGGGGCGGGTCTCCTACTTGACCTGCCCCACTAACATCCCTAGGCGGGTCAAGGAGGAAACCAGAGTCCCGCCTCGAGATGGGTCTTGGTTTGGCGGGGATGAGGATAAAAATCATACCCGGCATGAGAGATTGGGCGGGGTGGATTTTACATTGTATCCGCCCCCATCAGCCCCATTTCGTACTCGCCTCATCATCACCTCACACCCACATTTATATATTTTTAAAAATAAAATAATATTTTTTTATACTATTTTATAAAAAAAAATATTAGATATAATACTTGTAATATACTAATATTATAACTAAAAGAGTATAATATTAACAATTTTTTTCTTGTAATCTATATTAATTATATTGAATTGTGTATTGGGAGATGGGAATGGATATCCAAGTGGGGGATGGGGTGGGGATGGTTTTTGAATTGTACCCATCGGGACGGGGATGTAGATGAATTTTGGACCCGCCGCGGGGATGGAGATGGGAAGGTCAACATCCGCCTCGCCTCGCGTGCAAGTGCAACTATGCGTATAGTAAGCTAATATCTTGTCATTGAAGATCAAAGTAGCTAAAACTACAATTAGTTGAAAAGTTTATGTGACATGACAAGCCAATTTAATGTGACACTGAAGTTATTTTTAGTCTACTTGTTACTTAATTATTTAGCGTGCAATTATAATAATATGATCTTTGACCTGCCTAAAGAGACTAGATGCTTTGATAGTTTATAGTTCAAAGCATTATTCATTTTAAGAAAATTTGTTTTTAGTGGCAAATGAGGAAACCTCGAACTAGTAACAATAGTTACTAGTTCAAATCAATAAATGATTGAGATTATATTTTTCTATAAATAAAAAAGATTTAAATTCACTTATTAAATGTGTCAAAAGAAAAATCACTTGTTAATCTATATTGAGTTACATTACTATAAATAGAGGTATATCGAGTTGCATCACTTATTGGACATTTTCTAAAATTTTCTATCCCATCTTTTTTATCTTATAGGGTCGTCCTATAAACCTTCTTAAATAAATTGGAAGGATAATTAACATTTATAAATGTATATATATCATAGGTTTTGAATTAGAACTCACGAGATTCAAACTTAAGTTAGCTACATAGAAAGCATCTAATGCCACCACTACTCTTCAACTCTTCTTTTTTAAATTTCGACTACTTTGACTATCGTTTTCGAAACTGAAGTTTCTACAAACTCAGTCATAGTGGGGGCTTCTGTAGACACCTAAAAATGCCTCCCCAAAACCAAACTCGATGATGAACAACTTTTCACCGCCATTATTAGTCGGGTTGAGTATTTAATCTTGGAGTGCTTAAATCCATATTTCCATTTCATAAAACAACCCAACTTCTAGCCCATTTTACCAAAACATAACTTATTTTCCTCTTTTCGTGCCTTTGAACCCAAAATAATTCATTTCGTGTCCTTTAAAATCATTCATTTCGTGTCCTTTTTATAAAAACGTTTAATCCAGTTTATTTTGGTCCATAATCTGGGTCCAATGATTGAATAGCTGGATGGGGATTTAAAAGAGCTTTCCAACGATATATTATTCATCTTATTCCGATTTCTGGATCAAAAGATATGATAAAAACAAAAACCGCAAAAACTGGAGTGTATCGAGTTTTATTCCGATTTAATTCGGATCTTATCTTGTTTTTCGATCCTTCTTTTTTCTCTATAAATAGAGGTCATATCACCCCTTTTCCAATCATCAACAAGCTTGATCACAAAATAATTCTCTTCTCCTTCTTTAGCCTAAACACTAGCCACCCTATTCTCTCAAAATACTTCCCCTAATTAAGCACTCCAAGGAGTTCATACAATACCCAAAGTTCTATACTTAAACCAAGGCGTGAAAGGTATGATTAACTGAGGGTATGGACCAAATCAAATCTATCTTTATTTAATTTAATGTTCAATTTGGTTTATATTTTTTTATTGAAGTTACTAACAGTTTATTCAAGATGTAGCAATTCAAGGAAACGCGAAACGTGAGTAATTAATTCACTTAATTACTCTTATTATTTTATATTGCTAGTATCATGATTAGGGTTATTATTATTATTTGATTTGATAAACTTTATTATGGTTAGATTGCTTCCCATATTAATGTTTATTTTATTATATTTATTGATCACCATATTGCATGTTTAAAGGGAATATGTAATTGAAAATCACGCCTAATAAGATAATTTGGACGACCGGTTTAGGTTCCTTTTTAATCTTGTTATTTAGTCAAGTGATCACAAATATTTTAGAATTATATGTTGCATTAATATTCAACCAATTTAGCATAATAATAGTTTGGAGCAAATTGAATATTTTGTTTGTATGTCTTTGAGATCGCAGGAATCACTTTTCACTATAAGAATCGAGTAGAGGCCAATACGGGCGAATGTGACTCCATGAATCACATCGTACCATCATCCCCGATCCTCCTTTCGTGGTCTGAACTATATGGAGTTAGTAATCTCATGGATTATGAATTGGGTGTAACCTTCACGAGTCAATCGTTGTTGCCTATCGTTGTCCCTTTATCTTGGTTGCCTTTTTATGATCCGTGAATGGTTTACAAGTTCCTTAAAAACTTGTTGGCGGCTCCCTACTTTCCTTGTCCGTAATCGTATATGTCAATTCCCACTTCCTATGAGTGCCAAGCATATTCACCACATGTTTTAACTTAGGCGCACTTCGAACGACGCCTACATTCCCAAAAGACTGACCGAGGCGTATCACAGCAGGCGGAGGATGCCAGTTTGGACAATGCATCCGCCTGAATGTTCTCAGATCTGGGCACCTGATTTAGATGTAATATAATACTTCAAGTGTCCCAGTCTCCTCTTTGACCGCATGGAGATATTTGATCATAGCCGGATGGGTGGCTTCATACTCACCTTGGTACTGGCTAACGACCAATTGCGAATCAGAGTAGGCGTCAATTTTGGTTGCCCCTGCCGCCTTGCACATGCGGATGCCGGCTAGCAGGGGTTCATAATCCGCCTCATTGTTTGAGGTTTGGAACTTGAACCGTAGTGCATACTCAAATTTGTCGCCCTTAGGGGACTCATAAATAATCCCTGCACCACAGCCGTTCATAGTGGAGCTCCCGTTCACGTACACTTTCCAAACCTGATCACAATTATCCGGTGGAACCGGTCTTGGTTCATAAGTGATTTCAAGACTTTGAATTTAAATAGCCCATTTAAGCATCTTGCCGGATGACTCCAAAGTTGACATGGGCCGCTTGAGGGATTGATCTGTATATATCACAATCGGATGTGCCAAGAAGTATGGTTTTAACTTCTTGACTGCCATGTAAAGGGCAAGGCCAAAATTTTCAACTTTAGCATTTCGGAACACATGGCTAATGAAATAGACCAGGAGCTGGATAGCGTCTCTTTCAGCAAGGAGAACGACACTGAGGGTATGGTCTGAGACGGCTAAGTACATGTATAACGTCTCTTTGGGCAGAGGACTTACTAGCCTTGGAAAAGAGTGCAAGTGTTCTTTTAACTTTTGAAAGGTCGCCTCAACATCATTCCCCATTCAATTCTAGTCTTCTTCCTGATTGCTTAGAAGAAATAAAGGCATTTGTCACCTGACCGGCTGAGAAATCTTCCCAATGCCGCCAGGCAACCAGTTAGTTTCTGAACTTCCTTGATAATGCGGGGTGACTTCATGGCAATCGCCGCATGTATCCCCCTTTAATCAATCAGGATTCCGAGAAACTTGCCAGACTCAACACCAAAGACACATTTCTTAGGATTTAACATAACCTTATGCCGCCAGAGTGTGGTGAAGGTTTCTCGGAGATCAGCAAGGTGATCCGTCTGGAGCTTGGATTTGACTATCATGTCATCAATGTACGCCTCTACGTTCCTTTTGATTTGATTAATGAAGACCATATTAATCATTCGCTGGAAAGTAGCAGGCGCATTTTTCAAACTAAACAGCATCATAGTATAGCAGAATAACCCTTGATCTGTGACGAAGGTCGTCTTCTCTTGATCTTTTTTCCACAAGGGTATCTGATGGAAGCCAGAATAAGCATCCATGAAACTCATCAAGGCATGGCCGACTGTGGAATCAACAAGGCTGTCGATCTTTGGGAGCAGATTACTGTCCTTTGGACATGCCTTGTTGAGATATGTGTAATCAACACACATGCGCTAAGTTCCATTCGGCCTCTTTACAAGCACAACATTCGCCACTCAATCAGGGAAGTTACATAGCCAAATGAACCCACCGTCCAGCAGCTTTTTAACTTCGACAGCTGCAACCTGACTTCTTTCCTCGCCGTGATTTATTTTTTTATTTGCTTAATGGGCTTCTTTTTTGGATCCAGGACGAGTTTGTGGACAGCGAGATCTAGGCTAATGCTTGGCATCTCTTCCACTTTAAAGGAAAAGATGTCTTTGAATTCTTTCAGCAGGAGGTGCAAGTCTGCACCCAGCCTTTCAAAGGCAGCCATCCCCACCTTAACAGTTCGCTATGGACAACTGTTGTTCAGAGGAATATCAACATGCTCTCCAGCCGAATGGGGACGGAGATCATCTAAACGTTCCCTAGTCAGTGATTGTTAT